AAACAAATTGAAAACAAAAGAAAGGGGAATATATAGATCGAGGAATAATACTACAACAATGATAACAATAAGGGTGCGCATGCGCACATGGTAACGTTAGGTGAATGTAAATCGGCAAAGCAGTGAATTGGCTCAATATAGCGTTAAGATTTTTTAATGCCTGATTTATGTCTTAGTTTCAGAGAAAAAAACGTTGGGAGAATTTACTGTTAATCACTGTTAGAGAGTGTTGCACAGTGACGCCTTCAAAGAAAACCATAAATATCTTTGTGGTTTAATTGAGAAGATGAAGATCAAAGGAGAAGAAAAAGAAGAAGAAGTGGTCGTGGGTAAAACAAATTGAAAACAAGAAAAGAGGAATAGAGGAATAATATACTATAACCATAATATATCAATAAAAATCCATCTACCACAAAAATCTGTACATTTTGATGTACACCCCCTACTAATTTTTTTTCTTCCCTTTTTTCCATTTTACCAATATTTTTGTCTCCATATTTGTATTATTATGTATCCATTGAGGGTAGTCATACTATCAAGCTTTGCTTACTTTGTCAACCCTCCTGTTTGATGTTTTCGATTAGTTACGGCCAACCTTACTTTGTTTAATCTTTTGTCATGTATAAATGTTCAATGATTTGTTTGTTATATATTTGTAAAACTGAAAAAGAAAAAGAAAATCAAGCAATAAAAAAAAACCTGATTGATGTTTCTGATTAGTTACAGCCAACCTTACTTTGTTTCACATATACTCTTTTGTCATGTATAACAATGTTTTGTTTGTTATATATTTGTAAAACTGCAAAAGAAGAAGAAAATCAAACAGAAATGGGACCCGGTGTCCTAGGGTTAGGGTTAGGGTGAGAGTTAGGGTAACGCGGAACCCGGTGTCCTATGGTTAGGGTTAGAGTTAGTAACGCAAACTCCAGTGTCCTAGGGTGGCGCGGGACCAGATGTCCTAGGGTGACGCGGGACCCAGTGTCCTAGGGTTAGGGTTAGGGTGAGAGTTAGGGTAACGCAAACTCCGGTGTCCTAGGGTGACGCGGGACCCGGTGTCCTAGGGTGACGCGAGACCCGGTGTCCTAGGGTGACGCGGGACCCGGTGTCCTAGGGTTAGGGTTAGGGTGAGAGTTAGGGTAACGCAAACTCCGGTGTCCTAGGGTGACGCGGGACCCGGTGTCCTAGGGTGACGCGGGACCCGGTGTCCTAGGGTTAGGGTTAGGGCGAGAGTTAGGGTAACGCAAACTCCGGTGTCCTAGGGTGACGCGGGACCCGGTATCCTAGGGTGACGCGGGACCCGGTGTCCTAGGGTGACGCGGGACCTTGTGTCCTAGGGTTAGGGTTAGGGTGAGAGTTAGGGTAACCAAACTCCGGTGTCCTAGGCTGACGCGGGACCCGGTGTCCTAGGGTGGCGCGGGACCCGGTGTCCTAGGGTTAGGGTTAGGGTGAGAGTTAGGGTAACGCGAACTCCGGTGTCCTAGGGTGACGCGGGACCCGGTGTCCTAGGGTGATGCGGGACCCGGTGTCCTAGGGTGACGCGGGACCCGGTGTCCTAGGGTGACGCGGGACCCGGTGTCCTAGGGTTAGGGTTAGGGTGAGAGTTAGGGTAACGCAAACTCCGGTGTCCTAGGGTGACGCGGGACCCGGTGTCCTAGGGTGATGCGGGACCTGGTGTCCTAGGGTGACGCGGGACCCGGTGTCCTAGGGTGACGCGGGACCCGGTGTCCTAGGGTTAGGGTTAGGGTGAGAGTTAGGGTAACGCAAACTCCGGTGTCCTAGGGTGACGCGGGACCCGGTGTCCTAGGGTGACGCGGGACCCGGTGTCCTAGGGTTAGGGTTAGGGTGAGAGTTAGAGTTAGGGTAACGCAAACTCCGGTGTCCTAGGGTGCCGCAGGACCCGGTGTCCTAGGGTGACGTGGGACCCAGTGTCCTAGGCTGACGCAGGACCCGTGTCCTAGGGTTAGGGTTAGGGTGAGAGTTAGGGTAACGCAAACTCCGGCGTCCTAGGGTGACGCGGGACCCGGTGTCTTAGGGTGACGCGGGACCCGGTGTCCTAGGGTTAGGGTTAGGGTGAGAGTTAGGGTAACGCAAACTCCGGAGGGTGATGCGGGACCTGGTGTCCTAGGGTTAGGGTTAGGGTGAGAGTTAGAGTTAGGGCAACACAAATTCCGGTGTCCTCGGGTGACGCGGGACCCGGTGTCCTAGGGTTAGGATTAGGGTGAGAGTTACAGGTAACGCAAACTCCAGTGCCTAGGGTGACGGGGACCTGGTGTCCTTGGGTGTTCAAAACAAAGAATAACTTGTGGAAAGATAGAAATGGAAGATTAAACAAAATAATAATATGGAAAGAAAATTTAAAAGAAGGAGGAAATAAAAAATACCATAAGGAAAGACAGGTGCTAATAAGCAAAATGTAAATGGAAAAGAAAGAGAAATAAAGAATAACATGAGGAAATTAGAAAAAGAAGATAAAAGAAGTTTTAAACAAACAAATACATAAGGAGCGGTGGATATGGAAAACCCGCGCGAAGCGCGTAAGCTTTGACCTTTCAAAAATTATTAGAAAAAAAAGACGATTCATTGTACTATTCTTAACTCTTAATCCTTGTCTGAAATCATTCCTACCCCCCCCCCCCCCTCTCGCGCGAAGCGCGCAAGCTTTGACGTTTCATTAAATTCATAGAGAAAGAAGACGATTCGTTGTACCATTCTCGACTCTTAATCCTTGTCTGAAATCAGTTTTCCCCTCTCGCGCGAAGCGCGCAAGCTTTGAACTTTAGTAGTAGTAGTAGTACTACTACTAGGTACTACTACAGATTCTGAAAATGCCTTGTTTCACTATCATTATAAGTATAACTTATCACTCGGTATCAGCAGTCAAGCTTGCAGTTGAAGCATAATCAACAGCGTTAATATTTTGTAAACCAAAATAAATAACAGAGAAAATGGCAAACATATTATGTAAATAACCCACTTACCAAATTAGGAGAGCAGTCATGAGATAATTCGTTCATATGATTGTATATGAAATAGGATGAATATCGCCTGACCTTTATAGTTAACAAAACGTTTTACATTTGGTCGAGTATAAAACAGTTTCGATTAGTCATTTAATGCTTAGGATATTTTACTATTAGACGAATATTTAACTGGTACAAGCGAAACTTTCATTTAAAATTATAACGTTTATAAAAGTATATACACATAATTATGTGTGATGTACGTTGTATGTATGTTTATCAGAGGCGGCGCTCCCGGAAGGGGGCACAGTGCCCCCCCCCCCCCCCACTTTATCAAGTTCTCCAAAAGTGCCCCTTTTAAAACAGGAAAAGTGCCCTTTTAACTTTGTAAGAAGTGCCCCTTTTTACATAAAAAGTGCCCCTTTTACTTTGAAAAGTGCCCCTTCCCCTTTCCACCTCTGACATAAAAAACCCTCTTCTTTACACGTACCCCTTTTCGTTCGACAAGTTCCCATTAAGTGTTCATTTTCCATTCTCATAAGTGCCCTTTATAATCTGTAATAATTTAAGTGCCTCTTTTCAGATAGAAGTGCCCCTTTTCACCTCTGATAATTGCCCTATTCAAATCTGATAAGCGCACCTTATATCTTCACATGTGCCCCCTTTCCTTTCTAATAAGCGCCCCCATTTAAAAAAGAGCCCCTTCCCTTTCTCATAAATGCCCTTTTTCATCTGTGAAAACAGTCTCCTTTTTATTTATGAAAACAGTCTCTTTTCATTCTCATAAGCCCTTTTCTAAGACGATGGCGATTTAACTTCAAGTCTCTCAACTATGGCTCGTTGGCACGTTGGCAATATAAATTCAAGTCTCTCAACTCATGTTGGCTCGTTGGCACGTAATTGGCACGTTGGCGATATAAATTCAAGTCTCTCAACTCATGTTGATTCGTTGGCACGTTGGCACGTTGGCGATTTAACTTCAAGTCTCTCAACTCATGTTGGCACGTTGGCGATATAAATTCAAGTCTCTCAACTCATGTTTGCTCGTTGGCACGATGGCACGTTGGCGATTTATCTTCAAGTCTCTCAACTCATGTTGGCACGTTGGCACGTTGGCGATATAAATTCAAGTCTCTCAACTCATGTTGGCACGTTGGCGATATAAATTCAAGACTCTCAACTCATGTTGGCTCGTTGGCACGTTGGCACGTTGGCGATATAAATTCAAGACTCTCAACTCATGTTGGCTCGTTGGCACGTTGGCACGTTGGCGATATAAATTCAAGACTCTCAACTCATGTTGGCTCGTTGGCACGTTGGCACGTTGGCGATATAAATTCAAAACTCTCAACTCATGTTGGCTCGTTGGCACGTTGGCGATATAAATTCAAGTCTCTCAACTCATGTTGGCTCGTTGGCACGTTGGCACGTTGGCGATATAAATTCAAAACTCTCAACTCATGTTGGCTCGTTGGCACGTTGGCACGTTGGCGATATAAATTCAAGTCTCTCAACTCATGTTGGCTCGTTGGCACGTTGGCACGTTGGCTATATAAATTCAAGTCTCTCAACTCATGTTGGCTCGTTGGCACGTTGGCACGTTGGCGATATAAATTCAGTCTCTCATCTCATGTTGGCTCGTTGGCACGTTGGCGATATAAATTCAGTCTCTCAACTCATGTTGGCTCGTTGGCACGTTGGCGGCACGATTGCGATTTCCATTCAAGACTATATCTCGGCACCAAGTTGTAGTACTTTAACAAGTTGAAGCGTTGGGTTGGCGGATCAAAAAAAAACCTTTAGTTCGCATGGTGGGGTATTCTAAAGTTGTTCCCAACATAAACAATGGTATAAGATATAACAGCAAGGAACTCAAGAATGATTGGGCGCGCGACACCGAAACGGTCTACAGGCTGGACTAGATTTCTATGGTAAGCTCGGGCCCCGGTCGAGTGGGCGTGCTTCGCTCCCCAAACCCTAGGCGCGCGCTGCCAGCCGACCTGCCGCGTATATATAGTACAAGTACATGTGTAAGTCATTCCGTTTGACTTGGAGCTGCATGGAGCGTGTAGAAGCATATCATTTGAAGTGAAGTTGGTTCGGCTAAAGGACACCGGACATGGCGGCCGTCAAAGGGAATACGAGGGGATTCATATGGAATTTCTGCTTTGGATTATTCTTCGGATGTTGTATAACTTACCTCACAGTGAAATTTTCAAGACTGAACGAGTTTAGATCTTCTTCGCATATGCAAAAGTTTGATTCAGACTCAAACAACGGGGCCGGGGAAGCGCTGCGGCAGCCCGATGGACATGTTATTGTTGACGACACGAACCGAGTGTTAGAAAGCGAACTGAAACATTTTCAAGATTCTCACCATCATAATTTTGTGGGTAAGACTAACACGAGAGTGATATGACGGAAGACGTGCTCTGGAATAACTAAGCCATTAGAATCTTTGATTTCTTAAAGATTGAATCATTGAATGACTTGTTTTGTTTATTTAGCTTTAAAGGTAAAGACGAGTTCTGGTCATGCGATTGTATAGACCGAAAGCTTCAGTCTCTATAATCGTCGGTTGTTCCACTGAGACTACGTCAGGCCAGGCTCCACTAGACCTCCGGTTATTAACCGGAGGTCTAGTGAAGCCAGACATAGTCTCAGTGGAACAACCGACGATTATAGAGACTGAAGCTTTCGGTCTAGCGATTGTATAACTGTGAAAGAAACGTTGTGGAATCGATCAGAAAAGGTTGATCACCTGGCCCCCCCCCCTCCCACTCCGGGGTCGTCGGGAACGCATGCGTGTTCCCAAAATGTCCGGTAAAGGGATACTTTTCACACACCAATGTCTGGCTCATGGTACACAAAAATCTGGCCCGTAATCCGTATTGACTTTACACACAAGACTTTTCTGTGTTTTCAAAAGGAGGGAACATGCAAATGCGTACCCTAAATAACACTGAGTAGGGGGGGGGGGGCGGGCTGGGGTTGATCATCTAGCATATAAGTATTGGTGTGTACTACAAGGTTCTGGAATCATCGAAATGATCAGAAATGTGGCCCAGTCTTGGTAAAGTTACAAGCACTGTAGACAAAAAGATGTACACTGTAGGCTATATGGGACTACGCAACACGTACACGAAGTCACGATATCTATCCAGTTCAGATAGATATAATAATTTACCAATTAGTAGGCGGTTTTCGGGCAAAATTAGTATCAACCATCATCACATAGTAGTCAAAATATATGTTCTTTCACATGATTGTATAATTTGAGCTTCCATTTCATTTTTTGAAAGGGGGGCGTTTCCAAAACTGGTCTAGACCTAGATCTATACCTTTAATATCTGAATACTAAATGACATGTGATGTTTATAATTGTTATGAATATGAAGAGAATTATGCTCAGTCAGACATTAATATTAAATGCCCATCCAAATCTAAAACTAAAAGTTAAAACCGTCTAACTTTGTCACAACCCTCGATATCAGATAGAAACTGAAGCTTTCGTTTCGGTCGAGTGCTCAGTGTGGTGTCAGTTTTTTGTTGTAGGCTGGTCTCCTTCTTCGAGATAATCTGCCACTTTCAGGCTTCAAATTAACTACCGATCTTTGCAGATGCCGAATATACTCGGCCTGATTGGGGTGTGCAGGTGGACCACTACACCAGGGTTCCCCCTACATGTACTCTTATACGAATAGTGCAGTGGGTTCCTAACGTCTTATCTGATGGACGGAGTGTTTTCCACTTCCAATAGCCCGCATCTATGATTAAAAGGGAGTGGCAGGCTTCAGTCATCCGTCTGGGATGGTCACGGTGGGATTCAAACCCAAGATCTTTGGCAGGCAGACGCTTTACCGACTGAGCCAACTCGCCTCCCTACAGTATTCCTACTCCCTTTTCAGTAGTATATTCATTATCATAATTCATATGGCAATAAGTCAAATTTGACTATATCACCATTCACCAACTCATTTTGTTTTTCTTCTATTAAAATATGAACTTCATGGCCTGTCTTATAAAGAGTTATGATTGATCCGACTCAATGGCATGTCCTCCAATCAATCTCAATACGATTAAGTTACAGTCTCCAATCTCTAGTACATTGTACGATGATACATTGTAGTTTGATACATGTATAGTTGCGATGGATATCAATAACAAAAAGTTTAGATTAATGATTAATCGCATTGTTTACGAGACAGGGCCCAGATCTACACCAGTGAAAAACACATACCGGTAGTACTAGTAGTGGGCTCTCATGTGGAATTTGACACCATTCAGGTGTTTACCTAATATTAACAGGTGTTGGCGCTAGTGACTGTACTTTTGTATCCATTTTTGACCCGTAACTCTGGCGTGAGATAGTCTACTACCGTAAAAGTAAAACATACCAAAAATCAACTAAATCTTCATCAATTGTTCAAATAATGGTCATGATTTAAACATTGTTATGTTTTTTACCTGTTTCGCGTCAATTTTTTTAATCTCTTTTGGAGTATTTTCTTAAAAACCAGGTCATTATAATATACACTTTCTTACAGGTTTCACGGCTTACCGCTGCACAATTACAATACAATTGCATACTGATACCGATGAAGGGGTGCGTGAAGTTAGTGACCATAATAATGGTCATCGTCGTCATAATGTGGACTACTAATAATAGGGATCTGAGATTACAGTCAATAACTTATGGTACAGTATGCAATTGTACTGAAATTGTGCAGCCGTTTGCCGTAAAAACCTGTGAGAAAGTGTATTATAATGTCTTCGTTTTTTGAAAAATAACCAAAAAATAACAAAGAGATAGGCAAATGAATGAATAGAAACAAACAGGAAGACGTGGAAAGTTATCATGAGGAAACGATAAAAGGATATGAAAACAATGATTATCATGGAGAAAAACATAGAAAGAGAAAATTATAGAATGATAGAAACACAGAATAACATGGAAAGATAGAATGCTTATATGACAGAAAGATGAAAACAAATACATGTACATTATGAATCAAGATCTAGAAGATATTTGAAATAGAAAAGAAATACATAGAAAATCAGAAGAAATATGAAAAAAGAGGTAGTAGTTCTATAAGATATCAAATGAAATACAGAAATATAAGATGGAAGAAGGATGAAAACAATATCATTAGGAGAGATATAAATTGTAATTCATCACTTGTTCTTTCCAATTGCAGGTCAGGACGCCCTTGCACAAGTCCTTTATGACAAGGTACGTGTTTTGTGCTGGATAATGACTGGTCCTCAAAACATTAATACAAAGGCCGTTCATATCTTTGCCACGTGGGGGAAGCGGTGCAACAAGGTCATATTCATCTCTTCTGAACCATCGGACAAGGTCCCCATCGTGAAGGTAGCAACTAAAGAAGGGCGGGACTTCCTCTGGCAGAAGACCCGAGGAGCCTTCCAGCACATCTACGACAACTTCCTGGACGACTATGACTGGTTCCTGAAAGCAGACGATGACACATTTGTCATCGTGGAAAACCTACGCTACTTCCTGTCATCGTACACCCCCGATACGTCGATTTACTTTGGCCACAAGTTCAAGCGCTACGTCAAGCAGGGTTACATGAGCGGAGGGGGCGGTTACGTGACCAGCAGGACCGGTGTTAAGAACCTGGTGGAGATTGCCTTTAAGGATCCTTCCAAATGTTGGGGAATGGACAAGAAGGGAGGTGCAGAAGATGTGGAGATTGGCAAGTGCTTTGAAAATTCTGGTGTTGTTGCTGGGGATTCAAGAGATTCCTTGGAACGAAATCGTTTTCATCCGTTCCAACCTGAAGCCCATCTTGATCCTAAAGGCCTCCCGGATGCTTTTTGGTACTGGGATTATATCTATTATCCACGTAATGAGGTAAGTGATTTTCACTAGGTAGTTAAAGAGAAGGTTGAGTTCTTGGAAGAGGTGAAAAATAATTTGTAAGCATTATCATTCTTATTATGCAAGTGTGGAAGAACATCAGATAAGACATGTTTCCTGAAAAGCATGGCTCTTCAAATGCCTTCATATTCTAAATATGTCATGTAACATGGTAAAACTCGGGGGGGGGGGGGGGGGTAGGATTTTTACGCCACGTGTTTGTGTAGTCCCATATACATCTTTCTGTGTACAGTGTTTGTAACTTTACAAAGACTTGGCCAAATTTCTTATCATTTTGATGATTCCAGAACCTTGCAATACACACAAATTCTTATATGCTAGATGATCAACCTTTTCTGGTCGATTCCACACCGTTTCTTTCACAATGCAATCGCATGACCAGAACTCAACTTCATCTTTAAACCCTAATAGCTTGTTTATAGTCTTATAGATATGACACAGCAAAAAGAACATTCCTAATCTCTGCATGTATAGAATAAAGAGGTACATGTACATTGTACTCACATTTGCATGAACAGTGCTAATGCGTTTTTATGCCTCCGTTACGAAGTAGCCGGAGGCATTATGTTTTCGGGTTGTCCGTCCGTCCGTCCGTCCGTACGTCCGTCCGTCCGTCCGTACGTCCCGTTCTCGTGATCGCGTTATCTGAAGAACCGATTGATGGATTCCTGCCAAACTTTGGTCATGTATGTTACTTGCAGAGCCGATGAACTGATTAGATTTTGGGGTCACGAGGTGAAAGGTCAAAGGTCACAGGGCTCATTATGTATGCAAAAACAGCTCGTGATCGCGTTATCTGAAGAACCGATTGATGGATTCCTGCCAAACTTTGGTCTTGTATGTATCTTGCAAAGCCGATGAACTGATTAGATTTTGGGGTCACAAGGTCAAAGGTCACAGGTCACAGGGCTCATTAGGTATGCAAAAAGAGCTCGTGATCGCATTATCTCAAGAACCGATCGATGGATTCCTGCCAAACTTTGGTCATGTATGTATCTTGCAGAGCCGATGAACTGAATAGATTTTGGGGGTCACGAGGTCAAAGGTCAAAGGTCACAGGGCTCATTATGTATGCAAAAATAGCTTGTGATCGCATTCTCATTAGAACAGATTGATGGATTCCTGCCAAATTTCGATCATGTATGTATCTTGCAGAGCCAATGAACTGAGTAGATTCATGGGTCATGAGGTCAAAGGTCATGGGCTCATTATGTATCCAAAAATAACTTGTGAACGCATTCTCATTAGAACTGACAGATGGATTACTATTTAACTCAGGACATCTTGCAGAGCCAATGAACTGAGTAGATTTTAGGGTCATCAGGTCAAAGATCAAAGGGTCATATATGTATATGAGAAATTGCTTGTAATCACGATATTCTGAGAACCTCTTAATGGATTACAATTGAACTTGAATTTGAAAAATTTCTTCTGTTTTGGTTTGTAAAATTGCTCTATGACGGAGGCATCATTTTCGACTGCGCGCAGTCGAAGTTCCATCTAGTTTAGTATAGTGACATAATGTGTAATACGTTTTCACATTTCTGTATCTCATAACACAGAGCTCACTGCATACACGCAAGTTCTTTGTTTTGTGCAGCTGCTAGTATTCATTTACACGTTAAAAAACGTACAGATGGTTTAACTCACCATATATGTGAACAAGCCTCAAAGGTCTGAATTTACTGGTTTAAAAATTAGCGCAAAATAAGCGTACCTTGCTGTGCGCGCATTTAATATTGGACCTCTGACTTGTGTCGCTTATTTTGCGCTTATTTTAAACCATGGGTTATCTAAATGAGGGTTTAAACCATGGGTTAAATCTAAACCTCCTTTGTGAATTCGGGCCAAAAGGATTAATTTCTCACTCACCCTCTGTTTTGTGATGTCAGTAATACATGTAAAGCTCACATTAATGGCCTACATGTAATTATCACTGTTCATGAATCTGAGAATACCTCGTTATTCTATACATGCCGAAGTTTGCGATGTTGCTTTGCCACAATTTATGTGAAGCAATACCAAGTGATTTCCAGGCTATCCCAGCTGTCCTGGAAATAAAGGAAAATCTGGGAGATGAGTTCCCTTTTTACAGTCGGCTATAAATAGTCAGAGACTGAGATAACGCACATAAATCAGGGAAAAGTCAGAAATCAATTGGACCCGAAAGAAAGTAGTACACAGTCTCTTTTATTTTGTCTTCAGTTAAGACACGTAACCACTGGATTAAGATGTTTGAAATTGGTAAAATGATTCTGAAATATTGAAACTCCAACAGGGAAAATACATGTACAGGCAAAAAATCAGGGAGAAATCGGTATGATATGCTTGGAACCCTGACATGATATTGCTGTATTCCTCTGTTCACCTTTTTGATGAATGCTTCGAGTAATTACAAGATTATTATGTAAACGTAGATTGTACATTGTAAAGGGCTTTGAGAGGGCCTTCGGTCCTGAAATGTGCTATAAAAGAACGAACTATAATTATTATTATTATTTCATATACCGCGTACAAATAATTTTTAACATTTTTAAAATAAATTCTTCATCCTGTCTGCAGGGTTTTGAAGGATGCTGTTCAGATTACTCTATAACCTTCCACTACATTCCACCTGCCGCTCTGTACAACCTGGAATACCTTGTTTATCATCTGCGTCCCTTTGGTGTCGGAACGTACCCATGTCCAGCCGATGTACCCAAGGAGATTCTCCAAGAGGCACGTTCCAGGCAGCAGTCACAAGAACAGCCTCATGATGATCAGGAAAATAAACAAGTGGAGCAAGGGAAAGAACAGTTAAGCCAAGAGAAACAACGGGAAGAGGCTCAGGAGAAACAAGAGAGCCAACCAAAACAAGAAAAGGAAGCAAACGTTGATAATGAAAGGACGGACCTTGAAAAAGCAAAGGAAACGGAACAAAAACCTGTAGAAATAGAAAAAGAAATTGTAGATGTGTTAAAAAATGAAACAAAGAAAAGTGAAATAGAAGATAAAAAGGACTCTGTTAGGTGATCTTGTATTTGTAAGTGAGATTATTAATAAATTATTGATTTGAATTAGATCTTTAAAATATTTATTGTATTGCAAAAGCACTGTTTTCTTGCAAAACACAAGAAATCTACTTGCATTTCAGATCAAAAAGCAATATACCGGATCTTTTCCCCAATTTCCTATACTGTACACGGCGAACTTTCACTTCCGGGGTAACAGTTGGCCGCGCATTTGGCCCTGCGTGCGTTTACAGTGAAAAAGCCTGGGCCTGGCCGCAGCCGAGACTACCTTCAGAGCAGGGCCAAATGCGCGGCCACTTTTGGCCTCGCAGTTGGCCTTTTGCGCGTTTACAGTGCTAGGCCGGCCGCGCTCACTGTAAAGGGGGTCTAAGAATCCCATCTAGCTTTCCTGCCTTCCAGGAAAGCAGTCACAAAGGACTTTGTGCTCTGTGCTCATCATGTGTGCAAAAGTTCACATTCTTTCGAAGTTTCGATTTTTTGTTTGCATTTTTTTTTTTATTGTGGAGTTGATCACCCTGGTAAATATGAAAAATTGCTGAGCCGAAACCAGAAACATTGATAAAATGCCAACACATGTTTGCCATGCCAAGGGGTTCTTTTTTTGATAGCCCAATCAACCTGTACCCATATCCATAAAACTTTAAAGGTATAGACCAGTTTTGGAAACGCCCCCCTCTCAAAAAATGAAATGGAAGCTCTTATTACCAATCATGTGAACGTTTTGACTAATACGTGATGATACAAGTTTTGCTGGGAAACCGCCTAGTAATTGATATATTTGGTATTAATTATCATATCTATCCGGACTGGATAGATATCGTATAGTCCCATATATATCTTTTTGTGTACAGTGCTTGTAACTTTACCAAGACTGGGCCAAGTTTCTTATAATTTTGATGATTCCAGAACCTTGCAGTACACACACCAATACTTATATGCTAGATGATCAACCTTTTCTGATCCACAACGTTTCTTTCACAATGTAATCGCACGACCAGAACTGGTCTATACCTTTAACCTACCGGTAGTTGTAAACTAAATTTTACATAGGCTATAATACAGGCAGACACTGCCTCTACATGTACCCCTTCTTCACATGAACAAGGTGCTATTCACAGTGGAACACACATATTTATCGTTGAGGCTTGTCTTAAAAATAATTAAAAAATATTGCTCACCTCGCGATCCCAATGAAACAATTAAATCGTTGAGCAAGGTTCATTATCCTATCATTGAGGTCCGACCTACACGTATAAAAATGATATTCGATTGAGATTACAAATACACAAATGAGCGATTTAAAGAGAAGGTTGAGTTCTGGGAAGAGGTGAAAAATAAGTGTGGAAGAACATCAGATAAGACATGTTCCCTGAAAAGCATGGCTCTTCAAATGCCTTCATATTCTAAATATGCATGTAACATCATAAAAATCGGGGGGCCGGCTTTTTACGCCACGTGTTCGTGTAGTCCCATATACATCTTTCTGTGTACAGTGTTTGTAACTTTACCAAGACTTGGCCAAATTTCTTATCATTTTGATGATTCCAAAACCTTGCAATACACACAAATTCTTATATGCTAGATGATCAACCTTTTCTGGTCGGTTCCACACCGTTTCTTTCACAATGCCATCGCATGACCAGAACTCAACTTTATCTTTAAGATTGAGTCCTTACAGTTATTGACTTGTTATCGTTATGGCCGAGGTCTGATCAAGCCTTTAACTCTTGATGCACTTATAGAATTTTTTTCATTCAAAGTTGGCAGAGAACAGATCTTTGATTTTCATCGTAAATGTGGTCAGGCACAATTTTTAGTCACTAACACATGTTTAATTTCAGAACTGTCATGCAATTGTTTGGGTTAACAGACGTTCAAATCCGATTACTAGCCAAGGTGACATGTGACTCTAGTTCGCCAAGACTTTCTGAAATCTGATATCTAGAAATCTAGAACCCCAAATCAAATCAATTCAATTCAATTCAGGTGAACATCAGATAATGTGCATGTGAAGGGCATATCATAATGCCACCATGATGAATGAATTTAAAGACTTATCATTTTCTGAGGGAATGAATATTTAATATTTAATGGGTAAAAACATTTTACTGTGTGATCAGCATAATTACCGGTAGGTACACTACTACACTGTAAATGGACATGATTTTCTATCAAACAAGTGTTTAAAATAACTCATCCAATATATTTTATCATGTACTCTCCTACAGTTTTTTAATTCTTCAACACATTGTTACGACATGTAAATACAAAGTACATATGTAGATAGTATTTTAGATTAGTTGGATATCTATTTTACAATATATGTATATATCTACATGTAGTCTTTCATGGTTTTCCTTCTTACCATACACATATGTAAATTTTGCCACGGGCACTGTTTGTCATTTGTATCTTATCTACAACGTACATGTAATGTACAGATATTAGTTTTTCTTACTGGGAGTAGAGAATTGGAGCAATGTTTGTCATTCGTATCATATTTCAGTATTTTTGTCGACAACGTACACTGTACATGTAATGTACAGATATTACCGGTAGTTTTTCTTACTGGGAGTACAGAATTGGATCAGTGTGTGTGCGTTCCATTGGCTCACATATTTGAGTCATTTGATTGTTTTTGTTTTTTGGTTACTCTTGTCCAGAATCTCTGATGGTATACCTTTTAAAAATGTGAAATTTTATTTGTAAGTGTACTGCTTTCTTGTAATGAAAGCAGGGAACATACATGTAAGTTCCAAATTTTCAATCAAATTAAACGCACAAGTTCCAATTGAAGAGATGCGAATACATACTCTTGGTTGTAATTAGAGGTCACAAGAAAAAAAAGATCACATGTGTGTATATATATATATGTACTGTTGTTTGTAAAAGACATGAAAAGATGCAATATTCAGAGGTATTTTCCACACACTTTTCTATACACAATCGGTGTGAAGATTCCCTTCCAGCTGTTACTCCTAACAAAATCACAGTCTATGAGGGCATTCACACTGCAAGTAAAAACCGTTGAGTTTGATTTTTCTTTGCAATGTAAATGGGTCTTTTTATGCAAATTCATAAGAGCTATTACCCATTTTTGTCCTAGTCACAAAGTATTGATTTTTAGAATAGCTATTGTATTTTGAAAGACGGAATGCATTTACATTAATGGTTGTGGCTTTATTGAACACACCTCCAAATCTGTTGTGATTGTAGTAGAGGAATATATATGAATATTGAATACTTTATTTGTAAACTGGGCCCTGCTTCGTAAAACTTGCTATCTATAACAAATGCTACATTTCTATTACAACTTTGCTCTCAGCCAATCAAATGCCACTATTTTAGTAGCTAATAATGGTCATTGTCACTTGATATAAGGCCATTTACACACCCCAAACGCCATTTTGAAAAAACCATTGATTTTTTTTGACTGACATTTACACTACTTTAAAAACCCATTAAAAGCCGATAAAGTTTTCTCATACCAATTTTTTGCATGTCTTACTGTTAGCACAGAAGCAAGGATAGTCACGTAAGCACAAATCAGTATCTTACTGAAGTTTGTATGTACAATGCAAAAGTTGGTGAAATGCTGGTCGGCATTTAATAAAAAAAAAAAAAAAACACTCCAGACAAAAAAACTCACTCCAGAGATGGATTTTTTTAGTTTGTTTTTTACGTTGCGTTTAGCAACTACCGGAGAGACACCGGAATGTCATAAAAATCAATGATAATTGGTTGCAAATAAATGCAGTTGGTGATAACAAGTTCTACAAATCAGAGCCCAGGACAATTGTGGGAAGAATAAACATCTATTTTCCCACGGGATAGATTCCTCCCTATTGACAGGTCACAGGTGTTGCCTGGTTATATCGATGTACCATCTTGTTGGTTGTTTATTTAGAATATTGATTCTTTACCAGGATGTCCATATTCAGTTTGGAAGATGATCTTTTGGGCTGAGTAATTAATTAGAGGTTACCAATCACATACAGACTAAAAATTGTTTACTACGGTATGTGAAGGGTTCCATATGTTGCTTTACACATTTAAAATATGGACGGGTTAATGCAAAGTTTTGGTATGGGGTCATGAATTTGGTTCAAATGAACATATTGGAAACAAGCGATTTTACAATATTCAATGATCGCTGTCACAATTGAAAATTGAAAATATTGAAAATAATAAATGCTTTATGTTGTAAAGCTCTCTCTCAAGAGTAATATCACTAAAGCTTCAAATCAATGTTTCTTGACTAAAATCGACCAATTTTCTATTCCCGTTTGGAAGTTATATATCAGAGCTGCATATTCCAAGATTTTCATGGTCGAAGCTATCATTGTACCGCCGTAGGCACTATTTGAAATTTATCGGGAGCACTTATAAATTTGATATTTTAATTTCTCGAAATCCTAAGCGTTTTAGAGCCCAATTTTTCAAAGTAGTTTATTCTAACAGGTTTCACAATGGTAAGGCAAATTTTAAATTTCAAAATCCCACCTTGTTTATATATTACCAAAACTTTGTATTACCTTTAAGAGAAAAATGTATGCATACGTGTATCTCAAGACTTGCCCATGTCCTGTTGTGTATAATTATCAATGTAAGCAGTCTGCATATTTGACACGCAGCTGACTCAGAATGATGTGTGGGCAGACCAAGAGGCTATGTGCATTGTATGTATCCATGTATTGAATGCATTTTTTACGGATATAAAAGGATGTTATGTGAAACATACATGTGTATGTACATGTCCTTGCCAACTCTCCTGCTTTGTGCAGTATGCCTTCATGCAATGTAAACATACAATGAATAAAAAAAACTCCTTTGAATGAAAAACTACATCTTTTCAAAATCTAAGTCAATATTCAAAGTTTGGATACCATATATTTGTTTGCAATACTGTCTGATCCACATATTGGCCAACATACAATGAATAAAAAAACTCCTTTGAATGAAAAACTAAATCTTTTTCAAAATCTAAGTCAATATTCAAAGTTTGGATACCATATATTTGTTTGCAATACTGTCTGATCCACATATTGGCCAACATACAATGAATAAAAATACTCCTTTGAATGAAAAACTACATCTTTTCAAAATCGAAGTAACATTCAAAGTTTGGATACCATATATTTGTTTGCAATACTGTCTGATCCACATATTGGCCAACATACAATGAATACAAAACTCCTTTGAATGAAAAACTAAATCTTTTTCAAAATCTAAGTCAATATTCAAAGTTTGGATACCATATATTTGTTTGCAATACTGTCTGATCCACATATTGGCCAACATACAATGAATAAAATACTCCTTTGAATGAAAAACTACATCTTTTTA